ACTCTGAGAAGTTTGTGTGCCCAAGAAACTGGAGAAAGATAAACATTCAGCTATGAAAAGTATATTTCAATAGGGCTACCATCACAATTATCAGAATTGCTTGAATTTAAATAACTATTTTGATTGAAAATCTAGGAGACTAAAAGTTTATTTGGGGTAAAATGAGCCTCCAGCCTAAGAAGTGTATGTTTCAGTGTTAACGATAATTGGTACAGCAAGAAGAAAATATTTTCATCTAATTGTTGTTCTTGCATGCCCCAGTTTACTTTTTAGAATCCCGTAAATTTGGAAGCATTTGAAAGCAGTACAGCATATTAAACTCATGTCATTGTTTTCTGTTCGATCAGCTGCATTCAGGACATAGACTGAGTCATTATCGCAAAAGAGCCCTGAGAGAGCTTGTGGTTCCTGGGGGGGGGGTACATCGAGTAGGTTCACAAAGGTGCATGGGTGTGTCAAATGCCCCACCATTCTGTGATCTCCTGCTTTAAATTCAGAAATTAACATGGAGAAGAAAAGTAACACATCAGTATTTTATCTGGCAAACCGTGTAAGAGAGGGGGCTGCTTCCTTCAACTACTTTCAGGCGGTAGATTCTATACAGAAACAGAAACCGAAGTTGTCAAAACAGCTGAAGCAGCTGACCCCAGTGTGTCTAGCATACTGGGGGATCCAGAGCGTGTGAGAGGCAGTTGGTACCACTCTCCATCGCCCGTGCTGAGCTTCACCTCGGAGAGAAACATGAAAGTGACACACTGGAAATTTACTCTCTGTCTGTGCCCTGTGCCACTGCTCTTCAAGGCTGTAGGGAGGAAAAGCTGTCCCAGGCCTGACACAGAGTGGCCTTGCTCATTTTCTTGGATAAAACTATCATACTGATTTAATTATAGAGCCAATTTGGAGAAAATGAGTCTAATGCCGTTCTGTATACCTAAAGCCACCAGTGGCAACATCAGGAAGTGATGATATATATCCTTGGCTACCAAGGCATGGGAAAACAAGAACTTTCCTTTGGTGTGTTGTAAATGCTAAAAGCTATATAGTGGGTTATTTAAAGGTATCTTCTAAAATATAACACACATGCCTACTACTCTATCCAGACTCTCTACTCTCAGAATCTTGTCTGAAGAAATAGTTAAAGCAGATGTCTGCCACAGCATCATCCCTCATGGCAAAAGTGACATTGAATGGTTTAAGTTGCCATCAGTAGATGGAAGGTGAAGTAAATCATGGTATAACAAACAAATAAGAGTCCTGAGATCACACTGTTGTGTGGAAAAGACTGTTTGATGTACATATTTGCAGCGCATAAAGATGAAATTTGGAATCTGTGTGTTTATAAGAACAGAATGATCTGGAGATACATTAAAATGTTGAGAATGGACATTTCCACAAAGGGAATACTGCATCAGGAAGAGGGGTGTGAGCCAGCCAGGTGGGCCTTTTGATAACTGCAGATTTTATAAGTACAAATCAAATGTATGTATCTGTGCATATTATGTGCATAGTAAAAGAACAATGCCAATCCATCTTTTAAAAGAAAGCAACAATAATCAGTGCCTTCCAGACTATCCCAGGAAAGATCAAAACCTATCTTTCACAGACATGGACTTGCCACCAGCTTGCAGTGTTTATTAGAATTTTAAAAACTGGTTTTCTAATTCTGTGACATTATGTAAGTAAAGATGTATAATTTTGACCGGAAGATATTTCAGGATTATCTGTCTTGGTCATCACAAATAAGTTCCCTCATCAGGGATGCCTATGTAATGACAAAGGGTTTCCTTTTTAAATGAAGCTGTGGGGACCCCACTAATATAACATGGCTTTAGTCTGCTGCTTCCACAGCATTCTCCTTCTGACTCCTCCTGAAAGTGGAATGGCTTGGGAAATACCTTCATTTTAGATGCAAGCTAATAAACTGACTCTATGTCCTTTCATCTCCTAGCATGCCCAAGCTGGTCATTAATAAATACATTCGTCTCACAGCACAGCCACTGGGTCACACAGTCAATGAGTGTATGACCTCCCATTCCCTCAATGAGCAATGTGAAATACCCAGTTCTCTGGCCAATGCCCGGCCCCACTCCCTATACTGGCTCTTCCTTCTGGAGTTTCTAGTCTTCCCTGCTCCGCTGCACAAACCTTCCTTGGAAAAATCAGCAAAAGCCTATGTTAATTTTTACTTATTCCTAAGTTACTATTGTAGGGGGAAATGCTGGCCACGCCCACTTGAGGGTTGGCCTAGGTAAAGCTGTCCATCCCCAATTGGGGGCTGGCACAGTGATGCTGACCATGCACACTTGGGCGTGTATCTCTGGCTACATATGCCAGAGAATCAGGTTGTCCTGTGAACAATGATAATCTGAATGGCAACCACTTAGTGGTTGGATGATTGATTGTTAGGTTTCGACAAGATGGCATCCGTTTTGATTCTGAAGACCTCCACAGCCATATGAGGCCATGGCCTGACTGCAGACAGACAAATAACTGACCTCAGTTGTGTTCTGAGCATCTAGCACCGTGTTTGACATAGAACATGCCCAATGACTGAGCTGAATAAACTCAACTTGACTCTGTAAATCTTTATACTTGGCTCCACGTCTTCTAGCCAGTAGTTTCTAAGTGTAATCTGTGTAATTTTGTTAGCATGTACCTTCAATTCGAAGACATTTAAGTTAATTTGTAATTTTGGCTAGGGTTAATACTGGCCATAATCCAGCTGATTAATGCATTCTTTGCTATGTTACTTTCTCAGGTTCTCAGGGTAAAAAAAAAAATTACATTTTGTAGTTGTAAAATATACTAATTAATGAGGTTGCTAAATGAAATGATGCTAACTCTGAATTATTTCAAGTTTTTCTAACCCTGCAAATAGATCAGTGAATGATGAGAGTGGGGTCTGATGAGCCAAAAGACAACAGAACGTGTTTTCAATATTTATAACAGATAAAAATTCACTTTCTAAAATGTCTCTTCTAAGAAACTTGACTTTTAAAAAATGAGAGAATATTCAAATTTTAAAAGAGGATCCCAAATATAGCACATCTTCCCCCAAAGAACACTGGTTCACATGTCTGTGCTCTGGGAAGCAGGTCTAATAGTCTTAATTAAAATACTGACAGTAATATGTAATAACTTAGCAATGAATGCACACTGCAACACTCATAGAAATGATTTCCTACTTAGGAGGCATCTGGTCCTTCTTAGTTTACAAAAAGGTAAGGAAGGGCAGATAGACCTTCCCCCACAGGTTCGCTTCTCAGTCTAATGATTTCATAGTATTAGCTGTGTTTAACTTTCTTTTGTAAATTTATTTTAGTTGGTTCACAAAAATACAAAATGAAAGCTATTGATGTGCCTATAATGTTTGTGTTAAGAAGTGCATAGACCTTTCTTCTCCTGAATTTATCCCTTATTAATCGTGAAAACTTTCAAAGAAACCTTTCCTCCAGGCTAAGGGAGCACCTCCCTTGTAATATCAAAAGCATACAACATTTCATAACAGACACTGGAGGAGTAAACACACTCTCTGAGATGCCTGGGGGATTTGGTATGAAGAATGGTTTCATGACTCCTCTTGATTTAGAGCAATACCCTAGAGATTAAATTTTAAGAGAGATTTGGAATTTTCCAAGCACTTGCACATGTATTAGCACATTTACCATAGAGTGCTCATATGTGTGATCAGCCTAATTACCCAGGAAACAAGTAGTTAGATTACTGTCTTCACAACATTTAGCTCTTTCATTTCTCTTTTGGGCCTGAAATTTCATCATTTTCATTCTTGTTAGTCTTGTATTAGTGACAAGGGAAGGAAGAAAGGAAGGAGTTTCTACACATTTTAAATGTGTAGAAACTTCCTTTTATAAAACAACTGAGGATATGGAAATTTCTAGTTAAATTTAGACTCTCATAAGTACAGACATCAATTCAAGGGACCCAGAGTGACTTTGGTGTTTCTGACCAGTGCTTACATATCTAGTATGCCAATGCCTACTAATAATGGGCTTCTTTCATAGTCATGGCTGCCTTTAATTAGGCTTGCTTGGTGGAAATTATTGTTCCATTTTGTGGATAGAAAGACAGAGGGTGGAGAGATGAAGCAGATCTACTCAAGCAGAGGGTGGGGCCAGAGACCCAGGCACTTGATCACACATGGAGCATTTTCCCTAGGACTGTTGGCTCTCCAGCTTCAGTATTCATCACCACTGCAGAAAATGTGAACAAGACAGATACCAGCTCCACCTTTCAAGTTTCTAATTCAGTAGGTCTGGGATGGGCCTGCTGATCAGCATTTCTAATCAGGTGACAGGTCACCATCACAGTGCCTGTGAGGACACCTCGCACACACCACACAATGTAACGTGAGTGAACTTCTGTTGATTGGCCAAGTGAACCATAAGTGTAACTAACCCTGCCTGTGAAGTCTAATTTAGCTACATTTAGGGAAAGCAGGAAACGTTCCCTCTTCTCAGACATTGAATTTATTAAGCACAATGAGAGAAAAATAAACAAGGAAAATGGTCCCATGCCCTCCACTTTTTGAGTGGCCATTTATGCTCAAAGGAATCTGAGTCCCAACTATGCAGCAGATTTCTTATGGTGCAGTCATATCTGCAAACCCACAATATTGCTGTTGGCACTGGCCATGCTTCCTCAGCTTTGGAAAGGGTACCAGTTTGTTCTTGCTTCTTAGAAACAAGTGGCAGTTCTAACATTGCTCTCCCCATGGAATTTCCTCAACCACTCCATCTTCCTTTTTGGTTGCAAAATATGCCACACTAAATGAACACTAGCCTGCTATTTTTTTTCTTTTCAAACTACCCTAGAAGCAGTCAAGTTGTGGCAACATCCTCTTCCTGCCCCAGTCATTAACCAGAAGTCAAGGTAATTTATACAGCAGCATTCTGTGTGTAGTAGACATGACTGGTAGAAGTGCGGGCGCTGAAAGAGATGTGTTACTAACAGTTTGTGAATATTTACCGCAGTGGTCTTACCTATGCACACTAGATCCATAAAACCATACATTCCATAGCAGATTTGAAAAAGGATGTCCTTCCTCTGCCACACTGCATAGGGGCTGAAGGCTGACCAGAGGAGCCAAGTCACACTCGCTATTAAGAACAGGGATCCTAGGATTACAGCAATCATCTGCACTTTCTCAACCAGTGTTATAGAAATGCTCTGCCACTAAAAGAAAAACAGAGGCATGTAAGGAAAAGGTGCTGTGCAGAGTTAAAGAGGAAAGAAAAAAATCACATTTTTAGTGTTTCTCTTCATAATGCCAGACCCCTTTCAAGCTGATAATCCCCCAAATGAATTTCTCCATTATATCCAGGATATGAAACAATAGACAAGCAGATAATGATTAATGAATTGCCTTTGACTACATCATTTTCATTAATTCACCATTCTCAAACTTTAATACAACCTTAGTCCAGATCATAATACTGGATGTGAACGGCTCAGAAATATTTGGTTACCTGGAAATCACATACCCACATGTAATTAAATACCTTCTGACATTACACAATGAGAACTCCTCTATCTCAGGCTTTTTCTTTCCTTAAACATATATGGTTTTTTAAAAAAGGGAAAATTCTCTCTTGTTCTTGTAGAAGAATGTAAAAAATAGCAAACAAACTATATGTGGTCATCAGTGAAAATAGTTACTGAAAGTAACACATTAAAATAATCATACAGCTGTTCTTATCTGTTAATGGAGTGTCTCATATTCTTAGTCATCATTGGCTCTTATTATCAGTGGGTAAGCCATGGAGCATTTTTACCAAGATTTAGAATTTGTATACCAATAGCAGATCTTAGAAACAAATGAAACCATAGTATCACTTTTGGTATTCAATGAAGAGTGACTTAAACATCCTAAGTATCAGTATTTGAGAGGAATTACAGGTGCTCACAATGTCCATTGGTGGCCCTACTAGGTTGAGAATATCAATTAATCATGTTCTCACTTTTATATGCTTGAGAAACACACAAGACAAGAACTGATGTTTGACTCATAAGCAGTGAAACACCTAAGAACCTACTCAGTCTGTGGAGGAAAGGCCTGGCTGCTGCCAAGTTGGGCTCATTGAGGAACCCTCTCCACGGGAGCTCAACCTAATATGCCCATTCAATAAATCTGAGTTTTCTTAAAACCCATACTTACCTTAAATCTGAATGCACAAGCTGTTCAATAATAAATCTATCCTCACTTGTAATTTCCCTCTACATTCTCTCCTTCTCTTCCTCTCCTACCTCACCAGCAGATCACCAAATAACCCACATGTAATATTTTAATTCTGAAGTTGGTCTCCAGTATTCACAGGTATATTATTGAACTCTATATTGTTGTGGGTTAAATATAAACATGCACTTAAAATAGTGCTCTACAGTCGTGTACTTAACAAGAGGCAAAACCAACAGTCAACAATTATTCACTGTGATAAACATATCTTCATTTTAATGTGGGGTTTTCTTTTATAATTTTAACAAACATGAAAATAATAATAAATTGTTGTGTATGGTTTCATCTTTACAACAGGGCTGTAGTAAGTGTAGTTTTGCTTTTTCCTTAGCTTCCTGATGCAATTAGAAACACATTAACCCCACCTTCTAGATATTTAATGGGAAAGCATCTTAAGCTTGTTGTCACCCAACAAATGTGAAGTGCCACTGTAACTTGTTCTTGTTTACCGTGGATTTATATTAAAATGTGCCTTAAATACAGCAGCACAGTAAGCAACACAGAAAGCTGGCATACATCCTAAATGGAATGGATGCTGTCACATCTACATGCATGATCTTATCCTGAATCAATCACTTCAGGTAAATAAAAACAAAACATAAAACAACACATACACTTGGGGATCCTACTTTTCAGACAGGGTCTCAATCATAGCACTGAGTTCACAGTTCTCTTGCTATGCAGACTGTTGACCAATGAGGAATACACCACCACTACTTGTGGTGGTGGTGGTGGTGGTGGTGGTGGTGGTGGTGTGTGTGTGTGTCTGTGTGTGTGTGCGCGCGCGCGCGTGCTTGATTTCCATCTGGAGGTTCATAGCACATAGCTAAGCACATAGGACTGAATCATAGGACTTCTGGATAACCAAAAATGAGTGAGTGGGATTCAGCAAGAATGTTCTTATTCACTGATATATATTTTTATTCTTCCAATAGTCTGTATAATGGAAGGGTGGAGTTTAAATTACACAATTCAGGGGCGGTAAGTTATTATACTTGGCCTCAATAAGACCTTGTCTGTAGGTCAAGCTTCTAACCTATGGGATATGCCCCTCCTTAGCAGAGAAGCCAAGTGAGAAAAGGGACACATCCAGGAGCAAGAAGTATGAATGTTCCACCTTTGCTGGTTGAGGCCACATTTAGGGTGGCTTACTATGTGAATGCCTGTAGTCTGAATGTATGTGTTGAAGGTCATGTGAGCAGACTACAAGGAAGTAAAAACTTGATTATGCCACACTGGGAGGGTCAACATGTACATTATTACAGAAATTTACTGTTGCTGGGGTTTTTCAAAGTTAGTTTTAAAGAAGGATAAACCGTATTTAATCTACAACAGATCATCTGTCATTTTCTGGTATCGCGCTGTGAATAATTGACTTTCTCCATTCACAACACAAATTATCCAGTAAGTTTATGTGTTGATGAACCCCAAATATCACATTGCTTCACTGAGTGGCTAGGGGGGACAAACACTGTCAAAGTCAAAATTATGGAATGTGATCATGGGCACAGGGGCTTCCCTTGATACAGTTACATCATCTTGGTGATTTCTTTGCCCTCTCTTTGTAGCCCCCTCATATTATCAGAGGTAAGTACAAGAGGAAGGAGGGTTGCCTCACTTATCCCAGAGGAAAATAGCTCTGTTTTCCATGATAGGGAATTCAGCCAGCATCTTTGCCCTTGGATGTAGGAGACTATCCATGGGCTCAGCTTGCATACAGCTTGACAGACCAAAAAAAATTAGAATATGGTGGCCATCTCAGTGCCTGCCCTTTCACTTCGTGGTATCCAAGGACTAGACTTCAGTCTGTAAAACGTTTGAAACTTGAGCTAAAGTTTCCAATGGTGAAACATATTTTTGTCCTCTGGAGACACAGGTATAGTACTGCATGCCTGAAATTCCAGCACTCAAAGGAGGAGAGAAATTTCCATAAGACTGAGCCAACCTGGTATGCTTAGTGACTTCTGGAATAACTGGGCTCCATAATGAGACCATGTCTCAAAGAGTTTTCTTTTCTTGAATAATCCCTTTCTCTCTCCTTCTCTCCCTCCTTCTACTCCTTCTCTTCCTTCCCTCCCCCCAGCGTGTGTGTGTGTGTGTGTGTGTGTGTGTGTGTGTGTGTGTGTGTGTGTATTTTTCACTGACTTCATGCCATGAATGAGTAGAAAGAAAGGCGATGCAACGGTACCTAAATTGGCTTTCCATTCTCACTGTTATTTCATTTAGTCCTTAATATTTGATTCACAATCCTAAAAGTTATTTGTGTCTGTACAAAAAACTATCATTCCTTTAAAAGCTGGGGCCAACCAGGTCTTCTGTTGGATGTTTACCCTTATTAAATGTCCTGGAGATAGTTTAATGATAATAACTTCCATTCACATAGGACCAATATATGCCAGTCATATTTCTAACTTATATGTAGTAACTCATTAAATTATCATAACAACTTTGTGAGAGAGTTGCAACCACCATTTTAAAGATAAGTAAATGCAAGCTGAAATGACATGATGTTTAATATTGATTACGAACCTGACAGGATTTATAATCACTTAAAAAATAAGCCTCTGGACCTGACTATGAAGGGTTATATTGATTAGGTTAGTCTCCGGCCATGTCTTCAGGGATTACATTGATTAGGTTAACTGTGGTGGGAGAGCCCACCCTAAAGCTGAGAAGCCCCATTTCCTGGTCTTGGGTCTTAGACTTCATAGAAAGGAAAAAAAGAGGCTGAGCACAACAGTTTGTCATTGTCTACTTCTTAACTACAGATGCCATTCTGATGGGGCTTGAAAGACAAGAAGTCTAAAAGAAATGTGCATAGCAGAGGTGCCAGTTCATGTGGTTTCAGGGGGAACACGGACTCTGCAGGAATTGGACTAGGAGGGAATTACATGATATCTTGGCCAAGAATCGGCCTTTACTCTGCCAATGTCCTGAGAAGATAAGCGAGGTTGAATTTAAAGACAGGACTAATCTGTTCACTAGAGGACATTTCAAAACTGGTAGAATATATTCAGGTTTGGGCATAGCTGGCTAGTTTTTATGGCTCTTATCCAGTACTGTAGTAAAAAAGAGCAAATCATGGAACAGATTATTGTGGACAAGAATAGCTTGAAGAAGTTAAAGTGTGCAGCCTAGGTACATGCTGAAAAGAGTCATAGTTGTTAAAGAAACACACCTCGATCTGCACAGGGACAACAGGACATGTGTCTCAAGAGCAACCTTCCACCCATCAAAAGTGGCTCAAGAGGTCTCTGACCTGTGGAAGGAACTTCCTGGGCCAGTGTTTCCCTATGTCCAGACAGAGACACTTACGCATCTGTTGTCCAGTAGAGGCAGGCTTCATCTCAAACTGATGGCACTTGACAGCAGGACCAAGGTGGTACAGTCTTCTCAGATTGAGATGATCACAGAGAGCAGGTAAGGCAGTGTGTGATAGGGTCAGAGTTCATGAAAGGCACCCTGAGAGGCCATTATGCAAAGCTTTAAAAGATGGAGACCCCCAGGAAGATGATGATGCCAGAACCAAGAGGTGTCTGCTAAGGAAAGTTTCGTGTATGGAAGGGAGAAAAGTTAGAAGAGAAGTTGTATGTGCTGCAGGTTCTAGAGCTTTAACAGTGGGGCCACCTAATCTTTCATGCCCAGATGATTCTGTCACAGGCCCAAGATGCTAGACATGAAGCTACAGTGTGTAGAGTCCTCTCTGCTGGTTTCAATCTTACTTTTGTCTCATTTTACTTGATTGGTCTTCATCCTACCCTTTTAGAAATGGGAGTGTTTATTCTTTACTGTTGTGTGTAGGGAATATGTAATGATTTATTTTTGGATGTCATAATTAAAGCATTGCCTGTAATATAAGCTGAAACTTTGGATTTGTAAATGGTGTTAGAATATTTAAATACAGTAAAGACCTTCAATGTTAGACTCAAAGTTTTCCTGC